GTGGGGGGGGGGGTTGTCTAGTTTACCTGCATGGAAAAAACTGACAAAACATGTTTTTAATGTAACCATTCCAGTAAAATTGATACAGGGGGGAAAAAAAGGCAAAATCCTTATCTTTTGAAAATGTAAATTGAAGCAGTTACATCATTTTAAGTTTTGATGCGAGCTTTGCACACCTGGATTTATTTATTTTTGTTGCCTTTGCAAATTTTCTCCAGCTCTTGTTGGATGGGGACCTTTGGTGGACAACCATTTTTGGAGCTTTATACTATTCAAGCCAGGGCTTTGTGTGGACCACTGCAGGACATTCATAGAATTGTACACAAGACCCTCCTGTGGCRTCTTCACTATGCACTTTGGGTCAAGGTGCACCTTCAGTCCAGTTTGAGTCACWGTGGAGAAGATTTTCAATGAGAATATTTCATTCAGTCTACTAGGCCAAACCATTTAATCTCGATTTAATCAGACAAGATCCTCACTGTCTGAGTCATTCATTTGTGCTTTTCGAGTGCTTTGCACTGAATTTTAGCAATTTTAGGATCAGGCTGTGACAGAAAATTAAAACAAAAATAGGCCTGCATGCATCTGATCTGAAATGTATTGCTCAAAAACAAATATAGATTTTCAGCTGACAGCAGTGATTTCTTTATCCACTCAGTCTGTCAGATTCCTGGGAGGYTGTGTGTCACAACAGCAGCTGGTTTGGCAACACAAAATTCTTCATTGTGAACTTCTTTAGCTGCAAAAATTAGGAAGCAAAAATTTAACACCAACACAATTTAGCAGTTTTTTTATTCTTTTCTTTTTTTCACTAAGGCAGGTCTTTGTGAAAACAAGTATCATTTCCATAGTACAGCTGTCACACTGGTTTCAATCGTCAATTCACTTTCCTTTAGATTAGGACTACCTGGTAAAAATCTGACCCCCACAACACCGACATTTCACTCATCTCTTTCTAGATTTTTTGTGGCCCCCTTTTAATACAAACATACCTACAGAACATTACATCATATCATTTCTGTCCAATTTACACAACCTACTTTCCCAAACCTTCATGCACCCTTTCAGTTCTGCTCTGACTGTACTGCTGAGGTAATCAAATGCCAGGCTCTGCTTTGTTTGCAGTCTTTCTCAGAACTCCTCCTCTGCGTTTCGACAGCGGGACCGCCTGAGCAGGGTCAGGCGAGCCATCACCTCGGACACCGGCAGCTCTCCGTGGACCTTGTTGTCCCTCGTGCGCACATTGACGCTGTTAGTCATCCTCTCCTTCTCTCCGACAACTGCCAGGGCACAAGAACGACAACAGCTTGACATAACACCACACACGCTCACACCACACAGCTACCCTAACACAGTCCCCGCTTTGTATCACAGACTTCAACAACTGTGGGTGGTGAGCCAGCTTGGACGTCCATTTGCCTTGTAGTCGGGACTAATTAGAGATGTTTACATCGACTCACCGAGCCTCTCATGACACCTCTGATAACAGCTGTGCGGTTAAACAAACTGTACCRGGTCTTCTCACGTGTCAGCCTGTTAACTATCATTTAAATAGTCCTTACGCCTAAGCTAATTCTTTTAAAAACATCCTATATGTTTTTAATCTGAATGTGTAATAATGTGAAAAAAGTCTGCAAGAGTTCAAGATATTAATAATTTGAAATCACTTAAGTTACAACCTACTGTTTGACACTTAAAGTTGCATAAAAATGTTTGCACAAGTAAAATATTTAACATGGGAGAGGAATCCAGAGTGAGAGAGGAACATCCAAGCTTCTTATAGTGCAGAACCGTCTACAGACAGTTTTATAAAGAGGACAATCAATTCAGATTTTAAGCTCAAGTCATTTTCTTTTGAAATTATCCTAATTTTGGTTCATCACAAAAAGTACATAATTACTTTCTTAATTTCACTTTCAAAAAAAGGCTTCATTAGTAACTGTGCTGAAATAAATCYGTTATCCAAATCAATTGGAAACTACTGGCCAAACAAAAAAAAGCTAAAGCATTTTGTATCCCTGTTGGAAAAGAAAAGCTCATCTGCAAAAGGAAAAGCTATTTTAACTACCAAAATAAAATGTTTTTTTTTTATGCAACACTGCATGGTCACTCAATGYTTCAGGTGAATTAGATGCATGAATATTCATCTTGTACATGTTCGTTTACTCCAGATCCGTTATCTAGCATGAAAACCATCCTTTCCTCTGCACCGTAAGTCCTCACCAAGGATGAAGTTATATTGAGCCAACTGAGCGTTTCGGATCTTCTTATTTAGAAGACATCCAGAGTCCAGGTCAGCTTCTGCCATGAAGCCGGCCTCTGTGAACTGCTTGCACACCTGACAATTAAAATAAATAAATAAATAAATAAAACAGTCCATGTAAAAACATACAGTATGATAATTCTACATTTGTGAGCGCCACAAACAAACCTGTATTCACATAATGACCCATCACATTAAATCAAAGATTAAGTCATCTTTGGTCAAACTAAAATAAGCACATTCAGATTCCTGTCTTTTGATGCTTAAATCATCTTGACATCATGATGGGTTCCAGATGGCTTGATTTGTCTTGCAAATCAGGAAGAGCCRTGGAAAATTGGTATGAATCCTCTTTTTAAAACGCATTCTGATGAGGATTTCTTAACCTCAATTGAAAGAAGAAATGTCAAACCATATTTGGATATGAAGATTTACCAGCTGGTATTGGAAATAGCCTTTTCTGCTCAAAATCATCAGTAGTTGTTGGTTCTGCACTACCTTGCAACCTAATCTTGGTTTGATGTGATGGGTAACATATGTGCAAACGTGTGCCTGTGATTGGGAAATCGAGCACATGCCTTCTTGGCGTAATCCTCACAGGAGGGGTTGACGGGCACCAACATCACCTGACGTGGAGAGAGCCAGAGAGGCCTGTTGGAGGAGACAGACGGTTTTAATGATGCTCAGTCATTTGTGTACAGACTAAAAACACTGCAGTCAATGTTTTTCAACCACAAAAAGCAACACGTAGGTGAAATCACAGTGTAGAGAGGATGATGAGTGTAAAACAGCTGTGTTACTGACAATACAGTGAATTGTTTGTCCTTCCAACACAAGGACCATGTAATTTAATTGGATTGCAACACAAAGACACTCACAATAAAAAAGGGAAGAAAAAGCATTTGTTGTGTAAAAAGAAAAATGTACTGTTGTTAACATTTGAGTGAATCTATACTTGAGCAGCAGTGAGCTTCTCACCATTTCCCTGCATAGTTCTCTGTGAGAATAGCAATCATCCTTTCCACAGAGCCCAAGATGGCACGATGGATGATGACGGGTCGGGCTTTGTCATCGCCGTCCTTTCTGTTATCACAGAACACAGGAGAATAGAAAGAGGGGAAAAATGTAGAAGAACTTTCTTTTAAATGCCAATGTAAACGATGTAATAAAATTATGTTTACAACTGCAAAAAAGTTTTAAACACCACATATTTTTTTTGTATTTGAATTTTAAAAAAGGACCAGAAATGTTGTTGTAGTTTTTTATAAAGTTGTGCTGTTTAATAGTTCAACTTTCAATGGAAAGCATAAGAAAAATTGAAAATATTATTTCTAAAAAATATATATAAAACAAAATTTATTTTTGATATGATAAAATAGCCTTCCACACTTCAATTTTTATACGACAGCCATATTTTTTTTATTATACAATACAATGGCCTGCCATATTTTCTGATTACATGATAAGACAGCCTGCCAGAACTTTGGTTACATGGTAAAATAGCCTTCCATATTTTGATTTTTATACAACGGCCATATTTTTTTTGCAATATTTTTAATTATACAATACAACAACCTGCCATATTGATTACCTGATTACATGTTGAAATAGCCTGCCATATCTAGTTTTTTCACGATATGAACTGCCGTCTTTTTATTTATATGATACAACAGCCTGC